CTTTCTCATTGTCTAATTTGACTGCTCGAAAATTAATGATTTAAATCGTAGTGTGACTGAATTAATTAAGATATATCATCAACTAAATACATATGTATTTTTAAAGTCTCATATAATAATCATTTGGTTTTTGAATTTGTCATTAAATTTTTTTTTTATATATATATAAAAATTTGGTTTCCGTATCCATTTTGTTAATAATAATAATAATAATAATAATTAATAAATTAAATTAAATTTTTGTTTATAGAATTTGGTCAAAAATCCAAAATTTTTCTTAAGAAAGATAAAATTCATTATAGATAAATGACTAGGAACTAAATATATTTTTAAAAAAATTAAATAATTATGAAACTAGACTTGGAAAATAGTATTTACAAATTTAAAATTTAAATATATATAAATAAAAAGAAAAAACAGAGTGAAAATGACAAGAAAGGTTCTGTAATGCATTTTGCAGCCTATATGGGAAATGTTTTTTTTGACACGTAACCTTCTCATCAACCAACTCTATTAGGGTCGAAAAATATACGAAAACTCGCACAGGTAACATTGAGATGCTATTCGGATCGCTCAACACCATGCTCAATGTCAATCTAACGTTTAGATGCAAATGCTCGACATTACAAACACTTGTGCATCTTTTCCATATATAGCATTGAGAATCCGCTCGTTTATATGCCAGTGTTTCTTTATTATGAGGACAGTGAATCGACACACATACATCAATTTTTCTTCTCTTTCTCTTCATTTTGTATTTAAAATTTTGAATCTCTAATTAAATGATTCATTGAATATCTTCATTATTTTTATATTTATACCCGATTTTTTTTTTATTGAATTAGATGAATGAATCTTAAAATAATTACTATTTTATTAAATTTTCAAGTATAAAAAATTAATTAATTAAAAAAATTAAAAATGACCCTTTAATTATGGAAGCATTTCTTGAATTACTATATTCATTTGGGAATATACTTATTTTATTCCAATTCCAGGACGTAATTGTAATTTTAGTACACTCTAAACAAAACATGTTAAAAGGAATCACGTTCGGGTTATCGTCAATTATATTACGATTAATTACATCACGAATAAAACTCATTTTCATCACGAGAAGTAGGCACACCACACTTTCATTTTTTTAAAAGAAACAAACGACCGGTTAACCTAACCATACTTAAATCGGCTTATTTATATATTTTCGATTAAAAAATGAGCGTCCAGATGTTTTTCCCAACTCACATAATAAATAAATTACTAAAATGGTTAATAAAAGCCAGACAAGAAATGATAAGAATATCCCAAATTGGCACGTGCGTTCCTAGAATTTGTCCGTACACGTAAGCAAGGGGACGCACGGTTTTTTCATATAAAATGCCTTCGAGCATTGCACGAAAAAGCATAATCCAAATTCCCCCAATTCTTCTCTTCTCTCTCATTTCTCGTGTTCGATAATGGCGGTTTCGCACAGGAAAATGCCTCCGTTTCCGGCGGCGTTAACTATCACCACCACCATTGTCGTCGTCGCCGCCGTCTTCTCTTCTCTGTTTTGTAGTGTTTCGTCTTATGAACGGCCGCCGCCTCGCCGGAATCTCGTCGTTCCTCGCCGGAAAGATCTCGATTCCGATTCTCCAGAACAGGTAATTCCTAATCCCTACTCTTCTCCAAAACAGATTGTTGTTGAATTATAGAGAGAAACCGTTGAAATTTGTTAGAAATTAATTTTATGGTTTATTTTAATCCGTTAGAATTACAAACCGGTATTGGATTATTTTATATTTTATATTTTTTATTATATAATAATAATAATAAATAAATATTTAATTTGCTATTTAAAAACAATATATTTCTTATGAATTTAAACTTGATTCCCAATAATAAAAAAAATTATTGTTATGACTCTTAGTAAACAAATTATTAAAATAGTTTTATTTAAATATTAAAAAAAATAAGTTATTATAAAATTGGTTAATATTTTGTTTTAAAATATCCTTAAATTTTTTTAAATAAATTATAAAAAATACTAATTTAAGGATTTTACAACTTTTCCTAAAAAAAAATCGAAAGAGTATTTAGGGTCTATATAAGCTAGATTGGGTCGAGGGTGGGTTTGTTGGATTAGTAACTCAACCCAATCAGAAAATTTTCATAATTCAAACCAACTCAACCCTTTATCTTCGATTGGGTCTTCAAATTGAATAAGAAAGGTAACGTACAAACATAATTCAACATTGTCATAAAACTAAAAATAATTAAATAATCGTCTGAGAGTTTAGGAATACAACATTGTCATAAAACTAAAAATAATTAAATAATCGTATGAGAGTTTAGGAATATTTTTTAACACTTTTAAAAGTTCAGAGGTATTTTTGGAACATTGTATTAATTATTTACCTTTAATACTAATGATAAATATATTTTGAAAGCCGATATTTTTATTAATTTAATCAAATAAGGTCGAGGATGTGAGAGTGCTAAAAGGAACTTTTCAGGTACATATATCCCTGGTTGGTGCTGATAAAATGATGATAACGTGGATCACTGAGGACTCTGCACCAGCCGTGGTGGAATATGGCTCATCCCCTGGACTTTACACCAAGCTTGTAACTGGCTCTACTTCCTCTTACAAATATACATTTTATAAGTCTGGTTACATTCATGCTGCAACCATCGGTCCTCTCCACCCCGACACTACTTATTACTATCGTTGCAGCTCCGACTCTGCCCGCAATTTCACTTTCAAAACCCCTCCCGCTCAACTCCCTATCAAATTTGTTGTCATTGGTACGTAGCTAGCTAAAGGAAGAAACTGTTAAGGATTGTTGGGAGGGAGTCCTACGTTGGTTAATTTAGGGAATGATCATGAGTTTATAAGTAACGAATACATCTCCTTTGGGATGAGGTCCTTTGGGGAAGCTCAAAGTAAAGCCCATGAGAGCTTATGCTCAAAGTGGATAATATCATACCATTGTGGAGAGTCGTTATTCTAACGTGGTATCAGAGCCATGCTCTTAACTTAGTCATGTCAATAGAATCCTCAAATGTCGAATAAAGAAGTTGGGAGCCTAGAAGGTATATAACTCAAGTGTCGAACAAAGGGTGTACTTTGTTCGAGGACTCTAGAGAAGGAGTCGAGCCTCGATTAAGAGGAGACTGTTCGAGGGCTCCATAGACCTCAGGAAAGGCTATGTAGTGTACTTTGTTTGAGGGGAGGATTGTTGATGATTGTTGGGAGGGAGGTCCCACGTTGACTAATTTAGAGAATGATCATGGGTTTATAAGTAAGGGTTCACGAGAGCTTATGCTCGTTTTCGATTTTTGATGTTTTGTAGGTGATCTTGGGCAGACAGAATGGACCAAAACAACTCTCGAAAATATAGCCAAATCGGACTATGATGTGCTGCTGCTTCCTGGCGACTTGTCCTATGCTGATTTGATTCAGCCTTTATGGGATTCCTTTGGCAGGCTGGTTGAGCCATTGGCTAGCCAAAGGCCATGGATGGTGACACAAGGCAACCATGAGATTGAGCGCATCCCGGTGATTCATTCCCAGCCTTTCACAGCATACAACGCAAGATGGCCAATGCCTTTCGAGCAAAGCTCGTCGACATCCAATCTTTACTACTCGTTCGACACAGCCGGTGTGCACGTTATCATGTTGGGATCGTATACCGATTTCGACTCGAATTCGGCACAATATGGATGGCTTGTTGCCGACTTGAAGAAAATCGATCGATCGAAAACTCCATGGATTGTGGTGCTAGTTCATGCTCCATGGTATAACTCCAACACTGCTCACCAAGGTGAGAAAGAGTCGGTTGACATGAAGACTGCCATGGAAGAGCTTCTCTACGAGGCTCATGTAGACGTGGTGTTTTCAGGGCATGTTCATGCTTATGAACGCTTCGTAAGTTTCTCTAACAATCATAGTATTATTTACGTCAAGAACTTGATTTATCTTCTGAATCCTTTTGATCATGTTATTGTAGACTCGTGTTCATAATGGGGAAGCAAACGATTGTGCTCCTGTATACATTACAATCGGCGACGGGGGCAACCGTGAAGGCCTATCTAGCAAGTAATGCTTTAAAACTCAACGATGTTACAAAAGTTACTAAATTCAAACGTTTTAATCATAGAAAATTTAATCGTTTATAGGTATATCGATCCAAAGCCAGAGATTTCGATAGTTAGAGAAGCCAGCTTCGGACATGGCGAGTTTGAAGTGATGAATGCCACGAATGCACTTTGGACATGGCACCGGAACGACGACGATGTAGCGGTCGTCGGGGATTCATTTGTGTTTACGAGCCTCTCTTCTGTCCCTGCATGTAAACTATGAATAATTCTAAATCCTCTCATTAAGTAATTATATGTAGAAAGGATGGAAGAATTACTTGCATGCCAGGGAGTTCCCTAATAACGTTCTTATGAAGATGGCCTTTATGTGAACTCTAAACGCTACAGTTCTTATCATTATAGATATCCGTTCGTCACGCATTTCTAGAAGTATAATAGAAATCAGCTTTGATAGACAATTATGTGGTTATACGAGAACGATTAGGAGCCGTCAATTAGCCCCTAATCATAAACTTGACTCGATTATCAAAGGTCTGGCTAGTGGTAGATCGAACGGACTTATGATTTATTATCGTATTTGTAGTGACTATTGGGAGGTTTATATTGGTTAATTTCCTCGTATTGAACTTGCCACGAGCGGTAGAGGTCCCTTGAACCTCATCAGAACTTATAATTCTAGAACGATGATGATGAAAGAGACTAGCATAATAACAATTTAGGAGACGGGAGGTCTAGATAGACCAAGAACTAAGAACTTGAACCGATAACCCAACCCCAACCCGTAAATTTATAGTTTGATAATAAATTTAAAAATTAAATATGAACTTAAACTATAAATCAAAACGTGTTGTAAAGATGTTGAAACTAGTTGGAAACATCTTTAAATAAAGAAACTGCCTTTTGTAACATGAAACCAAAAAAGAACAAGGCCGGTCGGCCCCCTCTTTATTTGATTCTGTACTCTTCTTTGTGTTCTTCATCATCTCTCTCTCTAAAATGGCAAGATCAAAAATATCAGAGCCTCTGGTTCTTGGAAGAGTGATAGGAGATGTGGTGGATTCCTTCACCCCATCCATTAAAATGGGTATCACTTTCAGCAACAAGCACGTCCTCAATGGCTATCAATTCTTCCCTTCTTCTCTCTCCTTCAAACCCAGAGTTCATGTTTCAGGAGAAGATATGAGATCTTTGTTCACTTTGGTACACTCAAATCCTTCAAAATTCTCTCTTTTAACAAACCCTTTTTTCAATTTTTGATCTTTTGTTGTTTTTTTTTTTTTTTTTTGGTTAGATCATGGTTGATCCTGATGTTCCTGGCCCTAGTGATCCATTCTTGAGAGAACACCTCCACTGGTAAAAAAATATTACAAAATTTCCAAGTTTTGAGCTTTAAAGTTCGAAAAAAACGTAACTTTGATCAAAACCCATCATTTTTATGGTGTCTAAAATCATCTCCAGTACAAAATTTGCAAGTTTTGAGCTTTGAAGTTCGAAAAAAACGTAACTTTGATCAGAACCCGTCACTTTTGTCGGGTTTAAAATCATCTCTACTTATACAAAATGTTACAAAATTGGCAAGTTTTGAACTTTAAAGTTCGAAGAAACGTAATTTTGATCAAAACCCATCATTTTTATCGTGTTTAAAATCATCTCCGGTACAAAACGTTACAAAATTTGTAAGTTTTGAGCTTTGAAGTTTGAAAAAACGTAACTTTGATCAGAACCCATCACTTTTGTCGTGTTTAAAATCATCTCCACTTATACAAAATATTACGAGATTTGCAAGTTTTGAGCTTTAAAGTTCGAAAAA